GTGCAGATGCACTTGGGGCTGTTCCCAGATTTATTGGGGGAATCCATGAGGAAGCAGTGGTCTCAAAGATACCTCATGACCCCCACACCAATAATGTCTTCCCAGCCATCTGAAAGAGAGTCAGATTGCCAAAACGCCTGCTTGTCCCCTAGTCACCCCACCCCACTGTCATGAGGGACTTTGCAGCGACACCCCTAGGTGCAGCCAACCCCTTGTTCTCCTACCACAGTGTCCCAAAATCCCATTATCCCCAAATCCACACACTTGCACCTGGGACAAGGAGCAGCAGCATGGCTGGCAGGGAGCAAGGTGGGCTCCACACTGGGGTCCCTGCAGAAGGCTTTGGTGGGGGCTGGTGGGAGCAGCTACCCGCTGCTGGGAGCTGCTGGACTGACATTTATTTTTAGACGTGAATTGTATAAATTAGCATTTCTCAGCGGATTAAGCAGCAGGAATTGTGTAAAATTAAATGGCAACGAATTGCATTAAAGTCCCCCGTTTTCTGGCACAAACAGCGCCTCGAGCCGTGCCCAGGCGGCTCATGTGTAACAGCGCCGGAGATGGCGCTGCGCTGCTCCGGACAGAGCACGGCCAACCTGCGACGCGTCTGCACTGCCCGGGACACAGGGCTGGAAAGGCACAAGCACAGTGGCCAGACTGCGAGGATGGAGGGCTCCAGATGGGCTGTGAGTCCCTGAGTAGCTGGCTAAGGCGCTGGGCTGGGACCGCAGGACGTGGATGCAGTGAGTGGAATGCTGTAACCCAGATGGGCACAGATGGGCTCAGTTGAGCAGCTCGCCGGCGTGGGATCAGTGAGGGATGCTCCAGCCTCTCCTGGGCAGTGACACCACCAGCCCCAGCCCAGCCAGTCCCTGCCAGGCATGGCAGGACACCCATCACAGTTACGGCCATGTCACTCTCCAAAGGAGGTGATGCTGTGCTGGGACCCCAAGAGCCACTCTGTGCCCCAGCCAGGGCAGGTTCTGCAGTACCTGGAGCCCACTGAGCAGCTGAGGGAGGCCCAGCCCTGCACAGGAGTACAGGGAAAATGGAGTGGTTGAATGCCAGGGGCTGAGCAGGCACCAGGCAGGGCAGGGCAGGTGAAAAACAATCAGTCCATCTCTTTTACCCAGTAAAAATAGGTTGAAAATGTGACATTTATTAAGTACGATTCTGGTGGAAAGGTCAGAGAGTTCCCATGTCAGGAACAGTGGGAGAGCCTTGCTAGGAGGAGGCGACAGCCTGCTGCCCCCGCCCACCCCCTGAACCAGGATCTCCTGTGTGCATGTGGAATGCAACTGAGGATGTTGCCCGTCTCAGCACAGGGCTTCCCCCTCTGGGGTCGGCACGGGGTGCTGGGGAGATCCCTCTCACAGCCCAAATCCCGGGCAGGTAGGAGGCCTAGCATGGAGAGCCAGGGCTGCTGCCAGCTCCAAGAGGCACTGCCAGCTCTCAGCAACCTCCCTGCTCCCCCCCAGCTTCCAGCCCCGGCACAACTGGCTTCGGCAGCCACACATCACAAACAAAAGGCTTTTGACAACGAATGAGGTTTTGAGAAAGGCACTGGGCTCCTTCCCGGCCGCGAGAGCGGAGGCTCCTGCTGCAGCCACTGCCGGCAAACAGGCGGGATGCTGCTGCCAGCTGAGGGGGGCCCCTCCATGCGCTTCTTCCCACAGCCCCCAAACTCCTGCACACCCCATCTGGCTGTACCCCCATCTCCAGAGCACTGTTAGGAAGGCTCCCCCTTGCCTCAGTGCCACCTGACATGGCCAGAACTGGCCTCGGGCTGTGGCTGTACCGGGGTGCCAGGCAGGGAGCTTAGGGGGATGCAAGCCACCCGTGGCAGCTCAGCCCCAGCCCCGTGGGGACACTTCCCAGCCTCCTGCTGAATGGCATGCATAGAGCACCACGGATTTCCTGCACCAGCACCCTCAGCTCTGCAGCTGCACTGTCCAGCCAGGAGTGCTCCCCACCAAGGCACCCATCGGACAGTGTGTTAGCGGGCACTGGGCAGTGCCCCGAGCACTGCAGGGCCTGGGGGGCTGTGCAGCATGGTGGGCACAGCTCAGTGGGTCAGAAGAGGCTCTGCCAAGGCTCCAGCATGGCCCTCTAGCAGCCAGCACGGGGGCACATTTGTCAGCAGGGCTGCAGGGAGCCTCGCTGCGGCTCAGGGTTGTCCCCGCCGCTGGGGAGATTTACAGCCCAGCCGGGCTTTATTACATGGAAGATGCTTACGCTGGGGATTTTTTTTTTTCCCGATAGTTTCTTAATTTGCTGTCCCATAAAGAATGTGGATTTGTGACGTTGAATAGGGGAAGATCATTTAGCACTCACGGCTCTTACTTAAAGGATCCGCACAAGTTATTTATTGCGTGAGCACGGGCTGCAAGCAGCAGTGCAAGGGGACATGCTCCAGCCCTGGCATTGCTCCTGCTCCTGGACAGGCAGTCGGCGGCAGCCCCACAGCTTGGCCACTCTCATGCTGAAAAACTTCCAGCCTCTGGACAAAGTCCACCTCGTGCCCAGAGGGAAGGAAAGACTCCAGCACTCCTGCAAGCATGGCTGCAGGGAAAGCTCCTTCCCTTCTCCAGTGTCACTGGGGGACAGTCTCTGCTACAGAGGCTGCTCACTGTGGGCTCAGTGCCCTGGGACCCCAAGCCATTTGCCCTACTGGGATGTGCTGCAGTCTGGGAGCCTCCCATCACTGCTAGGACATGCTGTGACTCACACAGTCGCCCACAGCAGAGCAGGCACAAAAGCTTTCTGAACATGAAGGCTCACATGGGGACCCAGAAATGGGACCAAAAGCTTGGAGCTCCCCACCACATGAGCAGCCTTCACTGGGGCCACAGCTACGAGGCACAGGAGTACCCAAGCCCACACAGCACAGCTGGGACTCAACCCGCCTGCCAAGAAGCCTGTGTTGTGTTTCAGTCATTCCCAGGAGGCACAAGGGACCGATTTGGCTTAGGGAATGGGAGTAGAAGGTTCCAGCTGCAAATGGTGTGATGCCTTGACAGGTCCCACTGCTGCATGGAAGGGCTCTGGGACATGTTATGTGGCAGAGAGTTGTATCACATCTTCACCATCCCTCCCCACACTCATCTCTGCAGCCTCTCCTGCCCCAGGTTCACCCCTTTGCTGCAGGCAAGTAAGAGGCGACAGGTACGCCCCTTTCTGCTGACAGCCCCTGATACCTCAAAGGCCAGAAATGTTGAGCTGTGGACAGGGTGGGTGGAGGGTTTAGGAGCCCTATACTCCCCTTCTTTGGGCATAAGCTTATGGGTTGGCTGGTACTAGCCATTCTTACACCTGAAACCTGCTCCAGTGCAGAGTGCCAGCACACCAGAGCCTGGCTGCCTGGGCATCCCCAGGGCATTCTCATAAGCAGATGAGGCAGGCAGGCCAGCTGGTCCTGCACAGCCACATGCTGAGAAACTGGGTCCCAGTGACTGTCCTGGTGGTCACCCTTCACTGCCACACAGCACAGCACATGTCACACACTCTGTCCACGCTGTGGGAAGCCTGCACCGCTCCATCCACCTGAGCTCTGCCCTGCCAACATCACAGTGCGGCTCAGCACACACCAAATCCCATTGCTACGCTGTGCCTCTGCCCAGCACAAGGCTGGGCTCGCTGCCTCCCCCGCAAACCAAGGCTGTGCAGGATCCTCCAGGAGGATCCCAGGGCTGGAGTCAGCATGGCCAAGCCACGTGCAGGACGGTCCAGCACCAGAGCTTACTGCTCCAAACCCTGCTGAACCACACTGCTCCCTGGCAAACTCCAGCAGCTGGCGTAGAGCAGGCACAGAGCCCAGCAAATCCCCAGGAGGAGGAGTGGGGCTGCCCGCCTGCTGTCCCCCGCTCCTTCTTCCCACTCCACTGCAGTGTCCCCTGCCACCACCAACCCCCCGCACAGGGAGCCCCCCCTGCAAAGTCTCTTTCCCAGGGACAGCATCACTCTGCACATTGAGCAGGCTTTGTACCGATGGGCACGAAGTGAAACGGAACATGCTGCATCAGCCATTTTCAGCCCCACGGAGCCTCCTCTCTTCCCCAGTATCCTGCACAGCCCATGGCATCACACCCCACTCCCCGGCACGAGCGGGGTTCGGCTGGCAGCGCCGCTCCTGAGAAGGCGGGAGCCAGCTGAGCAGTAGCCCCTGGCAGCCGTAGGAGAGAGGCGGCTCATTTCCAGAGTCATTAAGGTCTGAAAAGGGTCCCATCAGGTATTCCGCCCGTTCAGCACATTTATTTTCCCAAACCACAGCGGGGATTTATGATTCCAGGCTCAATATTGGTGAGAGCTGCACACTGGCGGCGGTCGGCCAGGGGCTCTGTGCCTGGGCAGACTGGGCGCTGTTTGGAAGAGGCCGTGCTGCCAGTCCCGGGCAGTGAGTGGCAGCCCCGGGCAGCCCCCGCTCGCCCGGCTGTAGCCGTGCCTCCAGAGCGGAGCGGCTCGGCATTTGTGCTCGGCATGTGCACACGTGCCTGTGCAATGCCTGCAGTCCCCACATTTACACACATCCCAGTGCTAATCCCACAAATGCAGGAGGGTTCCCCTGCGTACAAAGGGTCTCTGCCTGCCCCCCTGTTCCAGCCCCTCTCGCTGAGTGAAGCATCCCGTGTCAGGGCACTTCGATCCGGGGGCAGAGCAGGCTGGAGCAGGACTCTGTGCCACAGCTTTCCCCCTGGCCGCCGCACACCCACCCTAGGGACCGCTGGACCCTGCTGCTCGCCCACCGCGGCTCCTGCCCGTGAGCCCCTCAGTCACAGACCTGCGACAGCCCAGTCCTGTGGCGCAGAGCCCTGCTGAGAGCTCCCACGGAGGATCCTCTCCCTCTCTCCCTGTGAAACTTGGAGGGAAACTCAAACAGAGAGAGCTGCAAACTTCAGCAGCCGGAGTGAGCCAGGGAGCCCTGCTCCGGTGCGACGCGATCGGGTGGGTGCCCCCCGTGCCGGTAGGGGCCCCTAGGGAAGCTGAGCCAGGTGTGCACTCACCACAGTGAAATCGCGGGATGAGCAGTTCTCGCCGCTGAAGTTGCAGCTCTTGAGCATGTCGTCGAGTTGGTGGCCGGTGCGGTTGACAATGTCAGCCATGTCGGGGTCAGGGTAGAGCAAGTCCGTGGCCTTGTGACCATCCCGGTCCTTGGGAGGCAGCCCGGTCATGTTGGCCAAGTGAAAGATGTCGGCGTCGGTGAGTGCCGAGTGGCGGTAGCGGTTGATGTTGCAGATGGTGATGGCCGGGAACACCATCTCACGGATGGCCTCCTCGTCCAGGGCCATGACGTGGGGGTGCTCCAGGTAGAGCAGCGCCGACTTGGCCGCCTGGTAGAGGAAGAAGGCGAGGGAGGCCAGGAAGGCAAATGCCCAGAGGGTCTGGCGCACGCCCAGCCGTCCCGACCGGCAGATGTGTCCCAAGCCGTGCAGCGTGCTGGTGCTGGCAAAGGTGGCCAGATCCCGGGAGCGGGGCCGGGCAGGCTCCTCGATCAGGCTCTCCTTGTCCCCTTCTTCTTTCTCCTTCTGCTTCTCATCCTCTTCAGCAAATTTGATTTTACACACGATCTCAATCGGCATCTGCCCCGTGCAGCTGGTGTGCCCAGCCAGCGAGCTGCCCCCTGGCACAGGCACCGGCCGAGAGCCCGGCCAGGCGCTGGGAGGGGGTTCGGGTCCCCCCCAAGCCCCAGCACGGCACCGGGAGGGCCGAGCCGTCTCGGGAGGGAAGCGCAGCCCCTCTCAGCAGCTCCGAGCCGCCGCTTCCCTCTTGTCTCACTAGTCGATCGTCTCCTTGTGCCTTCGCTTATCAGCACAAATACAGCTGTCAAAAACCCCTCTCTCTCCTCTCCCTCGCTCTGTCTCTCTGCCTCTCTCCTTCGCTCCTCTCTGGTTAAGACCCCAGCAGATACAGGCAGCATTTAGGCATCATGTGCTAATAAAATCCAGGGAATACTTAATAATTCAAGACATGTCAACATTATTTCATCGTCAAATAAAGAGCAAGCGTCAGAGAAAAGAGGCAGTGTGAAGGGCCCGGCGCCTCCGGGGCAGGGAGCCACGCTGCGCCCTCTCCCCAGCTCCGGCCCCGAAGTGCTGCCGGAGCCACTTGTTTGAATGGCTCGGGAGCCGCCGGAGCCGAGCCGTGCCGAGCGGAACCGAGCCGTGCCGCGCCGTGCGATGCCGAGTCGTTCGTGCCGCGCCGCGCCGTGCGATGCCGAGCCGTGCCGAGCCGTGCCGTGGCGGGCGGGGCACGAAGCCTGTCCCCCGCCGTCGCCGCTGCCGCCGCGCTCTCCGCCTGGCCCCGCCGTGCCCCGCCGGCCCGTGCGCCCCGGGGCAGAGCGCGGCGCGGCTCGGCGGGGGCGGGCAGCCTGCGGGCAGCTCGCCCGGCGGCCCCCTCCTGCTCGCCCGCCTGCGGACTCCTCCTGCCTCGGCGGCTCCCTGGCCGTTAACCGCCTCCCTGCCGCGGCCCGCCGCGACCCACGGCGGCCAGCGCCGAGTCACGGCCGTCCCGGCCCCGGCCCCGGCTGTCCCGGCGGGATCCGGCCGGCGAGACGCCCCCGGAGCGGGGCTGAACACGGGGCGCCAGGGGTGCACTTTGCCGTGCCTCCCCCCGGCCCCGCCGTGTTCCTCGGTGCTCCGGAGCCAGGAGAGCGGCAGTATCGCCTCCCGCGCCCTGTGTCCGCCGCCCCCCTCTTCACCGCGCTCGCTGTGCACCCGGGATGGGCTCATCCGGCTTCATTTCTGCCCCCTTCCCTCCCTCCCTCCCTCGGTGCTCCTCATTGTTCCACGGCAGCGCACAAGTGGGGGGCACCACAGGCAGGGACCAACTCTGCTAGAAAGGCTGAGCCGGGGTAGCGCTCACCCTGTCCTGCCCTGCCGAGCCCTTGCTCCTCTCGGGGTCTGCTCCCTCCAGGGCACGCTGCCGTCGACCCTCGCACAGCCCCATCAGCACCCAGCCCCCGAGGCAGCATTGCCCTGCACGCAGCGTGACAAGCAGGGTGTCCTCCTGCCCCGTCCTGTCCTGCCCGTGGCAGTGGGGCTCTCCTAGCCTGGCTCGGTCATGAGGTGATGGGTTCAACCTTGAGGCACCAACCACATGGCACCTGGGTCTGTCTCTTCCCAATGCACAACATCTCTGCCAGCAAGTTTTAATCTCTCCCAGTTTCCTGCCTTGGTTTCACCAGCTGGGGACGGAGGGTTTGCTGAACCAACCCACTCACTCACAAGTCAAGCAACCCTCCGTGACACTGCCTTGTGGCACAGTGGTGGGGGAAACACCATCTCCCTGTCCCCAGAGCAAGCCCAGCACTGGGTACCCCCCCCAGCAGACAGGGCTCTGCTGAGAAGGTGCGTGCCTGGCAGGGAATCCAGGGTCTCCGGAGGACAAGTGATGAGACAGCCGCCCAGGAGCGCGACAGAGGCCTCGCCTCTCCTCGGGGACTGCGCCGCAGGTCAGCGTGACCTTCACTGTGCTGCCAATGCCAACGGCAAAGCTTTCCCCAGCCGTCCGGCAAGCGCACATGCATCTTCAATCTTCCCATCGATCTGTGCATGGCACACATGTTTCTGCCTCTCTGTGGGTCAATACAGCATGATAGGCTGCCTCCGGCAAGGAGCACGCACAGCCCCAGCCGCCTGTTTTCCCTGCCCAGGGGATGCAGCATGCACGTGCCAGCCCTGCACCTCCAGCTCCGAAGGACGTGGTAGGAGCAGGCTGGGCAGGTGGCCCAAGCTCTGCTGCCACCACAGGTGCCCCAGCCACACAGCCACCAGGGCCCAGATGCTTCCACAGGGACCCTTGGCTCCCTGGGGGATGCTTGGCCCAGCCGGGACCATGGGCGGAAACAGCCTGACCCTGTGGAAGGAGTTTCCATGGAGTCAGCAATGGCCAGCCCTGCATCTTTGGTCTGCAGAGCTGGATGTGTAGTCCCTGCCTGCACCTCTCAGATGCTGTGGTGGCAAGGGACATGAGGGCATGGAGGGTCTGCCATGCAGGTCACCCCATAAGCACAGACCCTGAGGTACAGGGCAAACTGAGCTGTGTGAGTGTGGGACCAGCTGGAGCCCAGTGTCCTGTGTGCTGGACAGTCATGGAACAGGAGCAGGACTGTCCCTTGGCTCCCCCCAGGACCCTGTCCCCCATACCAAGGGGATCACACACCCCTGCTTTCTCTGTCCCCCATACCAAGGGGATCACACACCCCTGCTTTCTCTGTCCCCATACCAAGGGGATCACACACCCCTGCTTTCTCTGTCCCCATACCAGGGGGATCACACACCCCTGCTTTCTCTGTCCCCATACCAGGGGGATCACATCCCCCTGCTTTCTCTGTCCCCATACCAAGGGGGATCACACACCCCTGCTTTCTCTGTCCCCATACCAAGGGGGATCACACACCCCTGCTTTCTCTGTTCCCCATACCAGGGGGATCACACACCCCTGCTTTCTCTGTTCCCCATACCAGGGGGATCACATCCCCCTGCTTTCTCTGTTCCCCATACCAAGGGGATGACATCCCCCTGCTTTCTCTGGGTGTCTTCAACTCCATTATTAACTGCCACCTGGACTGGGGACATGTTTCAGCACCATCCCCACAGCATGATCCCCTCCTGAGTGGCCAAAGAGGTAAGTCCTCTCCCACCTCCTTTCCTGGCTCTCCTCTCCTGTTGTACTCTGCTCCTGCCTGCCCACCCAGCAAGGGCAAAGGGATGTTGGGGACTCATCTCCTTGCAGGATTACCCAAGGCTAGAGTGCAGCCAGGGTGGGTTGGGATCAAACTGTGCCCCAGTGAGTGGCACCCATAGCACAAGCCCCATGCCCAGCTGCAGCTGCAGGCCTTTTACAAGCCTTGGAGAGGGGAGGACTATGGCTTCACAGCCAGGGAGCTCTGGGAGAGAGAGCATGCTGGGAGAGACAGTGGGATGGAGGTGCAGGGAGTGGGGAAGCAGCATGGCTTGGGAAGCCAGGCAGTAGGGCTTAGGGACTGCTTTCTACCCAGACAAGGCAAAGAACAAAGCATGAGCTAGGAATGGCTGGTGCTGTCTGCAGTGTGTCAGTGTTGCTGACACGTCTGCAGGTCCCCAAGGTTCCACACCGGAGCCTCTCACCTGTGGCTGAGTGCCTGCACATGGAGGCATGAGGCCACATGGGGGGACTCTGTGGTGTGTAGTGGGGCTCATCTGCCCCTTCACCTGGCCACATGCAGCTACAGAGTCTGTTCACCCCCTGATGCTCCCTCATCCACTCCTTGGATAGGATGCTAACAGTCAGGAGAAACACAATGCCCTGGGCTCCTGTGCTGACTTCACCAGCCACTGTGCAAGCCAACACGATGGGAGAGCCAGCCAAGGGCTTGCCAGCAGACTGGGAGAGTGGAGTCTCTCCTGGTTACCCCTGTGCCCCCCAGCCAGGGGAATGCTGATCGTCAGGGACTTGGCACAGGGCCCATGTACTCCACTCAGTGATGGGGGGAGGCTGCGGGTGCCAGGGAAGACAGGACTGGAATTCAAAATGATGTTGACAAATCGGAGAAATGGCCTGAAAACAATCAGATACAATTCAAAAGGACAAGAGCTGGGCTGGGGTGGGAAGCAAATCTGCCCGGAAAGCAGAGGGCGAGCGGCTGGAGGGCAGGGCTGCCAAGTGGGCAGGAGGGCAGGACAGAGCCTGGCCCAGCAGTGGGCAGCAACATCAGCTTGTCTGAGTTTAACACCAGACCCCAGGACAATCCCAGGTGGATAAACAAGGCATGCAGAGGGGTGGAACCCTCAGGCAGGACATGTTCTGCAGGTGCAGTTATCTGTGTGAGCAGGAGCTGTTTCCAGATGCCCAGCAGCCAGGCAGATGCTTGGAAAAGCAGCTGGGAGTTAGGAGAAAATAGGAGAAACCTCCTTCATTTGGGATATGGGATCTATCAGTTTAATGTGGGATCTCTGGCAGCCTTGCAACTGCACTGAACTCAGTGAAAAGGACAATGTTGCTCAGGGCTGCGTGAGAAGGAGAATCATCGTGAGGCATCTGAGGCGTTTGCTGGCGGCAAGGCCTTACTGGGAGCCCTGTGTCAGGTCTGGGACACACATCAAGAAAAATCCAAACTAATTGTATGGAGTTTAGAGGATGGCAGTAACAGAGAGCAGTGATGGAAACTGGCTGGAGACACTGGAGCTTTGGGTGAGAGCAGAGGGGGTTAAGAGGCTGTATCCATGGACAAAATAACAGCACAGAAGGAGGGGGCTTTCTACAACATCAGGGCTCTGACACACCCACAGAACACAGCAGGAGACAGGTGAAGCCTACACATGGGAGAAGCTGGCCCCACAGTCTGCAGGGATGCTTGGTGAACCTAACCCTGCTGTGGTGCCCTCCAGCACCCTCATGGTGACTCATCCCCTCCAAGACACAGGCACTGGCTGTTTCTATTCTTAGCCCAGTCCAGATGAGGGTTTGGATGTGATTTCCCTCTCTTGTCACCCAGCCAAGGGATTGACTCTTCCATACCAAGACCCAAACTCCCACTGCACTCCGTCACTGGTGCTGTGCCACTGCAGTGAGCTCACCCTCCCAGCCAGCCTGTGGGACTGCAGCTCCTCAGGAAGGACACAGGGGATCAGCTCAGGGCACCAAGAGTGACATGGCAGGGGCAGCCCTGGAGGGTGGGGGACATGGGTGACCAGACAGTTACAGACCTGGGTGGTCAGCAGGCAGCTGTCCAACGGGAGACCCCCATCAGGGAGCTCCCACCTGATACCCTGCTGGCCAAACTGGCCAGGATATGGATGCAGCTTGCTGAGTGCTTTACTGCCAGCCCAAGCCATGAGCTGGCTGCTACGTCTTTCTCACCAGCTCCTCACACTCCAGAGCTGGCGCTGGCCACGGCCCCATGCCCAGAGGGAAGTGGATCTGGGGCAATCATTACTTTTGATCTAATTGAAGGGAACGTGACTGCGGAGCCCAGCTGGCCGCAGCATTCAGCTCTGCCTCATGCAAGTTGCATCCTCTGAGACCCTTGCAAACACGTTGGCTTAACAAGAACAGCCTCCTTCCATGGCCTCCCCGGCATGCTACCGGCGCCTGCCCAGCAGGTCAGTCTGTGCAGCAAGGACAGCAAGTGCCTCGGCTGTGGGGAGATGTGGGATGACAAGATGTCCACTCAAATTACAGGAGAGCAGGGCTGGCGACAGTGTGATGAGCATGCCAGGCATCAGTGCCTGCTGTGGAGCTGGCTGGGGGGAGGCACAGGAGCAGTAATGCTGCCTGCACCCCACTTGCTGAAACCTCTGCAGCATCCTCCTGCACCCACTGGAAGTGGTGGGAGGGAGCTGGACGCACCAGGGTAGGAGCAGAGCCATTGATGTGAGCACTGTTACCAGCTGCATCGTGCTGGCATGGGGAAGATGGCAGCTCCAGTGTGCACACCAGCCTCACCGGTGGCCCTGGTCCCCAGTTTGGCCCACTGTGACAGATGAAGGGTCCGCCAGGGTCAGCAGACACATGGGAGATGCAGCACCCCATTAACGCACTGACCCTATTTACGTAAACTACCCCCATTAAACACAATACCTTATTAAATGCTTTACCCCAATTAAGTGCAATACCTTAATTAATGCAACACCCCAATTAAAGACAACACTCCCATTCAATTTATTCCTTCATTAAGCACAAAACCTCAATTACAAAGTCTCTTTTGTAAGCTGTGTGCATGAGCTCGCACAAGGTGCCCTGGACACCT